CTCCAAAATTCCCAATAGCGAGGACCAAGAGTCGAGGTCTGGCAGTCTGGCTAATCAGCTAGCCGGTCATAGGGGGGTTGCGCGGGTGACAGGATGAGGCAACCCTTGAACACTACAGGGAACGACGACAAACTGCGTTTCTTAACGGAGATGTATGCACTTGTAAAAGGAACAAATAATTAAGCACATAGTACAACGCAAGTAAGCTATAAAGATCCATCAACAAATTTTTTATACCTAAATTAGGCTTACCTTCATTCATGCTTATTATTTTGTAAAGATATATATATATATATATATATATATATATATATATATATATATATATATATATATATATATATATATATATATATATATATATATATATATATATATATATACACATATATATAGGGCTTAGTTCCTGTGAGAACACCCTCTTAGGAGAGAAAAAAAGAATCACATCTATCCATTGATTTATCTGATCCTACGACCACTATTATAGGAAAAATAAAACTGCCGTAAACTAAAAGAGGAGTTAAAAAAGGTAATGCTTCATTTGTGTAATTATGTAGGGGCTCAATGGTAACATTACATGAGTGGTTAATTCACACGCATGCAACACTTTTCTCTATCATGCTAGTTCCATATCCTAAAAATTTGGACAATTAAATATGTTTCCATTGTAAAGCTTTTTAATTAGGTGTACGTATGTACTATTTAGTGTATGTAATGCTATTTTATTTACCACATCTAATACTTGCAAGATATATTGGGAATGCACTTTAGTTATTAATCTCATGCACAATTATTTAAATATATAGTTATGCACTTCATTTATAAGTTTAAAATATTTTCTTTTGTGTTAGTGACGTCCTTTAATAAGATCGTATGCACTTTTACTCGAAACATTATGCACCTTTTGTGTTACGCACTTTTACGTGTTATACATAATAGCATTTTAGAAGTAACGAGAATGCACTTTAGTTTTTAATCCAATGCACAATTATTTAAATAGTTATGCACTTCGTTTATAATTTAATATTTTCTTTTGTGTTAATGACGTCCTTTAATAAGATCGTATGCACTTTTACTTGAAACTGTGCACCTTTTATGTTACGCACTTTTACGTGTTATACAACATAGCATTTCAGTAGGTGCACATTTATATATTTTGCACTATAGCTATTTAATGATTCATTTTTACGATAAACTATTGCAAATTGTATACTTTAAATTCTATGTGTTTAACTTTCAAATTGCATAACACCCCTTGCATATATCATGCACTATAATGGACTATGAAATTGTTATGTATTATGCTACTATAATTTATGGAGTGCAACCGAAAATCAGAATTGTGCATAACACAATTTTAAATTACTATGCATTATGCTATTATAATTTCCGGAGTGCAATCGAGAACAAGAACTGTGCATAACACAATTTTTTCAATGCACACAATGTTACTTCAAAGCAAAAAGAACAATTTAAATAATACACTAATTTACGTGATGCATTCAATGTTATGAGTGCTAACCAATAATGGTTCTTGCACCATTATGAACATAATGGCTTACCCTGGGAAAACGTTTTGGTCATATATCCCCTTCGACAAAAGTCCTAATCAATAGGAAATCAAAAGTTTTGAAAATATACTAAAATATGTGGTGAGCCTCTCATTCTTTATCAACCAATCGGAGAAAGAAACAATGAAAAAATATTATACGAAGAAGATGAAAGAAGTGGGTTTGCTTAGAGCTTTTAGAAGAAAGAAGAAAATGAACGGTGAAGACAATAGACCGGCAAATATTATGGGATATTAGATTATTAGTTACGGAAAGAATCGTTGGCATTAATGGACTAGGCAAATCTCCTATTTGCCCTTAAATGAAAAAGAAATGAAAAAGAAACGAAAAAATAAAAAATTAAAATCCAATGGCACACGTCTATTCTTTTTTACTCTCCTAAGATTAAGTTCTCACATGAACCTATATATATATATATATATATATATATATATATATATATATATATATATATATATATAGGGGAAAGATCAAGTACAAAGTGTGCTTATTGTGCAAATATTTGTACGATGCACCTTGACGTTATTTGCATTGCATATTGAGGTTCAAAGTATTGCACATCATAAAGTCATAAAAATAACAGTTGCACATTAAGGTGCAACGTGTTGCACCCTAAAAAGTTGGGTTTTATTACAAAAATGCCACCTTGCATTTATGTCCTTTGGATCAACTCATCGGACGGTCAAGATGAGTTTGTACTTTGTAAATTAAGAAGGCTTTGTATATATATATATATATATATATATATATATATATATATATATATATATATATATATATAGGTTCATGTGAGAACTTAATCTTAGGAGAGTAAAAAAGAATAAATAAGGACCATTAGATCATGTTTTAATTCTTCCGTGTGATTGCTCTTCCAGGAGGTTAATGATGTCATTTCTTCCCCCCAATTTTATGTGTACGGCGATTCCTAAAACGGTTAAACCACATCCACCGAAAAAATATCAACTTTCCTTGGATGTCTTATTCAATCATTTAATTCCATTTTTGCTTCTCAACTTCTTTTTCGTTTTTTATATTTTTCGTACATATCTATGTCTTCATCAAGCATTTCACATCACCATGTGCCATGGATTGTCACTACAATATTTTTTGAATATTATATTCAAAGTAATTTATTGTAGGCATTCAGAGTTGTTTTCCAAACAATATTACTAATAAAAAATGTGGACATAAATGTGTACATACTTGTAACAATATTGATTATTTAAATTTATCTATATTGCATTGTTAATGTAGCACTTGACCCCATTAGTGCACCAGCACGGCCACTTTCATGCACTTTTGACCCCTATTTATCAAAATATATTGTTGAACTTTGATGCACTTATCATACTTTATTCACACACTTTGGGATATATTTAAATGCACATGATAAATGTGCATTTCATTTTGTGAGAAAGTGCTAACGTAAAATTTTAGAAAATGTGATGTAATAATGCACTTGTATTTATATTAAAATGCACATGATGATTGTTAGTTTACACCCGTGCATATTTATTTGCATCTTTATTTAAAAATATATGAAAGTGAACGACTACAAAGAAAGAAGTGCAAATCATAAAACGTGCAGGCTAATGAATAATGATACATGAGTGCAGGTTAATGTTATAAGAATAATATTTCTCTTTAGATTCATTTATTTGATTATTAGCCGGAGGATTTAATCTCAATATATATGATATCTAAAGAATACGTAAATAAGTATTACACAGTGTCCAAGCAAGATTGATGCTTTGACAAAAAAACAAAGTTAAAGTTATAATATACTACATATTATTCATTTTAGAAAACGAAATAAACATTCAACTCAAATGATTGTGCCTAAAGTTTTGAATAAAAGTGCAATCATTCAATATTGGAGTGCAAATAAACAAGCCATGAAATATTGTATCCGGAAGAATAAGTAACAAAATTAAATGTTGGAGAATATTATATTTTCAAAGAAATTTAAATAGGAAATTTAATTGTGAGTGGAAGTTACTGCGCATTAATTAGTATCCAAATTTGGAGGATTCCTTTGCAGCAATGTAGTACTCGTGCAAGTCACGCATCAATTAATTTGGAGTCTTTTACCTAACTATCCTTTACTCATTATTGTAGTACGGATGACTCCAAATTATATGCTAGCACGTGCAAATCATATGCTGCTTTTAGTTCGTATCAATCATTTACGTGCCGCACGATTTAACGAAAGAATGGCCAGATGTCATTCTTTTTTTCTCTCCTGAAGCTCATTTCTCACAGGAACCAATCCCTATATATATATATATATATATATATATATATATATATATAGTGCTGTTCCGGTCAGGAAATTCTTGACCGGAGCCCTGTCCGGCCTCCTCCATTTGGGGGCCTTCCCGGTGGTATTTTTTGCTCAAATGTTTTGTGTAGGTTCCTCATCAAGTCTAGTTCATCCATACCAAATTTCAGCCAAAATTCAATCGGGAAGGTCGTCAAATGATTTTTGCAAGTTAACTGGTCCGGAAAATACATATTCCGGACCAGTTAACTTGCAAAAATCATTTGACAATCTTTCCGATTAAACCTTTGGCTGAAATTTGGTATGGATGAACTAGACTTGATGAGGAACCTACACAAAAAAATTGAGCAAAAAATACCACCGGGAAGGCCCCCAAATGGAGGAGGCCAGACGGGGGGAGTGGTCCGGCCTGGCCGGACCTGAATATTTGTCTATATATATATAGACAACTTTTCATGTCCAGCCGGCCTGACGGGAACCGCCGTCCGGTCGAGGGAATTTCGGGGTACTTCCTGATGGAATTTTTTGATAAAATTTTTTGTTCATGTTCTTCATGAAGTCTAGTTTATCCATACCAAATTTCAACTAAAAATTCAATCGGGAAGACAATCAAATAATTTGTTGAAGTTAACTGCACAGTTTATATGTATGAACTGCCCAGTTAACTTCAAGAAATTATATATGCGAGTCGTGATCAAACATCAATTTGAAATAACACGTACAAATTTCAATTGTTTTCCGGAGTTTTCATACATAGGGATATTATTATAATTATCAACTCTAAGCAATACGACGCAATTCTTCACCACAAAAATAAGGATACAACAAAAGTAACAACTGATCGATATTTAGAGAGCTATTACCAATTAACTTCATCAATATCACTGTACTATTTTATTCGAGGGAAATTAAATTAACATTCAACAAACAATTGACTTTATGATGTAGAAGTTCATGGGAAACGAAAAGCATAAAACGTTATCTATTGATAAAAAACGACTTTTTGGAGAGTTTCCAAAACGTTTTGTAGGATTTCAATTCCAAAATGAAAACGTATTTGTTTAAAAGTTTCCGTAGTTCATATAGGCGTTGATAAAAAGGAGTCACGTATGGGAAAATTTTTATTTTATCGTTATTTCTGTGTACTCCACGATAGGAGAGCCACACCTATATACAATTGATGCTACGAACTAATTGGAGCTTACGCCGCTTAACTGGAGCGTGCGAATTAATCTACAACAACGTGATAAGCACTCTCACAATAGCTACGTATGTGTTAAGACACGGGGTTCTCTCAGGTCGCAGGTTGAAGACGTAAAGGGTATTCCGATCGCGAAGCCTCCTATGGCTCTGAAATAGGTATTTTCGTCGAGGTCCGCCAGAAATTGGATCGTTTCACGTTCATAATGCCTTTCTCCACGGCGATTTACATGAGGAGGTATATATGAAACTCCCGCCTGGTTTCTCTACAGATCAACCAGGCATGGTATGTCGATTGAAGAAATCGTTGTATGGGTTGCGCCAAGCACCCAGGTGCTGGTTCGCCAAACTTGCCGCAGCACTTAAATAGTACGGCTTTCATCATTCGTATTCTCGGACTACTCTCTATTCACTATGTGTCACGGGGCGGTTCGTTTGCATGTGCTTGTCTATGTAGATGACATGATTATTGCAGGGAATGATCTTGCGGCTTTGACATCCTTTAAGTCCTATTTGAGTTCTTGTTTCCACATGAAGGATCTTGGCCCATTAAAATATTTTTCTTGGTATTGAGGTTGCCCGTAATTCTGACGGCATATTTTTGTGTCAACGAAAACACACACTGGATATTATTTCTGAGACAGGACTTCTCGGGGCTAAACCGGCTAGTTTTCCTATTCAACAAAATCACACATTAGCTCTCGCTAATGGGGACTTGCTATCGGATCCTAAAGCTTATCGTAGGCTTGTTGGTCCTCTCATATATTTATCTTTTACACGACCGGACTTGGCATACACCGTGCATATTCTCTCTCAATTTATGCAGCAACCTCGAAAGGAGCACTGGAATGCCGCTCTTCGCGTTGTGTGGTACTTGAAAGGGAGTCTCGGCCAGGGTATTCTTTTGTCTTCCTCCTCGGATTTCTTATTGACTGGATGGTGTGACTCTGACTGGGCGAGTTGTCCTCTCACTCGTCGCTCTCTTAGTGGTTGGTTGGTGTTTCTTGGTGGTTCCCCTATTTCCTGGAAGACCAAGAAACAACAAACAGTTTATCGTTCTTCCAATGAAGCCGAGTACCGATCTATGGCTGCCATTACTGCAGAATTAAAGTGGCTCAAGGGTCTTCTTCTCACTCTTGGTGTTACTCATACCACCGCCATGACTCTGTACTGTGATAGCCAGTCCGCTATTCATATTGCCCAAAATCCCGTCTTCCATGAGCGGACCAAACACATAGAAGTTGACTATCATTATGTCCGAGAAGCACTTCAGCAAGGATTGCTCACCGCTCGACACGTTTCTACTCATGATCAGCTTGTGGATATTTTCACAAAGGCATTGGGCAAACAAAGGTTTCTTACTCTCCTCCGCAAGTTGGGCGTTTGCAATCCCCACGCTCCAACTTGAGGGGGGTGTTGGAACAGTTATTTTATTATTGGGCTTTTATAACATGTAGGAAAAATTGAAAATAATAATCCCAACTATTGCTGTTCCGCTGAAAATAATCTCAACTATTGATTATTTTTGTATAATCCCAACTATATAGATTATCCGCCAATAATGGTCCATGACCATATATTACCTCTATAAAAAGTGAATTTTAAATAGAAATTAAGCGTAAAAATTAAAAGTTGAGATTATTTATAGGGATTACTTGTTATATCTCATCTCATCCACTTTAGAAACTACAATAATTTATTCATAGGGACCATTATTGGCGGAAGGTTCCTAAAGTTGAGATTATTCTGTAATAATCAAAAGTTAGGATTATTATGAGCGGACCGCCAATAGTTGAGATTATTACTATCAATTTTTCCTAACATGTATTATTTTATGTATTTAATGTATGTGTTGTATTCTGGGCCAAAGGGCTTCGTTCATGTAAAGTCACTGATGTATATATATACTCAATCGATCATGGAATAAAGGCAGGGGGATTTACATTCCATTCATACGATTACTTTAATAGTATGTACAAGGAAAAATGTGGAAGAATTAAAATGTAACATTAAATATATGTAGCAACAGTCGTGTGATCGGTGTTAGATCTCAAATTCAAATGGGTTTGGGACGCACAATGAAGTCAATGATCGAGGCATAGACCAGGCTCTGTCTGCAAACACAACTGGGAAGTGCTTTGAACTTTTTTAAAATGATTTGGTAAAAAAATGATTAATAGTAAAAGTTGATAGTGTTTGAGAAAAAAGTGATTTTGAAAAGTAAAAGTTGGTGGTGTTTGATAAAATAAGTGCTTTTTGTGTAATAGAAAAAGTAAAAAGCGGATTCTAGCTTTTAGCTTTTAAGTAATTCATTTAAGTAGAAGTTGTCATTTGAAAGCATCTTTTTTAGTTTTTTTAAGCCAAAAGCTGGGAAATGCTTTTTGTGTTTGCAAATAGAGTCGTAGTCATCGTTCCTCTTCGTTGTGTAATAAGTTTTGGGCCTGGACAACTTTTTAGTGAGTTTAATCTCAAAAAGTCAGTGTGAGCTAGCTATAACCATCTCCAAATATATGGATTCTGTTTTATTTATCAATATATATTTTAGGTCTCGCGTTTAAATATTTACTGTATGATATACTCCGTACTAATGTACTATATGGATTTTCTCTCTTCACCAATACCAATGGTGGAGTAACAATATGAGTCCTGTTTAGGGTACTCCAATTTGTACCTCAATTTGTACATCGTCTGTGTACACAGACATTTGGATAGAAAGTCCTGCTATCTTTCAAACGAATTGCCTGTGTACACATGCAATTCAGGGGGTGAGTACAAAATGAGGTACGTTTTGGGGTACCTATAGATTGTTTGTAACAATATTGGCCCTCTTAGATGCCTCACTAATATTTTGAAAATCAGTACACTCGTATGCCTATATAGACAATTTGTCAAAAAATGGTTTAATTACCTAAATATATATACTATCGTATTACAACAAGGGTAAAGACGTAAAGTTTACCATGATGACATTATTGTTTTATTTCGGAAATATGACCATTCACTCTTATTTTGGAAAATTTTATTCAATTTGTTCTTTTAATAGGACTAAATACGCCATATTTGCGTAATAAAATACAAGTATATTTACTTTTGTTTTTTTAACTTTATTTTTATTTTGGTCCTATATTAAGCAATTTCAAATATATTATTTGTGTCTATAGACTATTTGTGAATAAATTGTCTGTGTAAATAGACATCTGTACAAAAATGCGTTCAAATAAATTTTTTAGTTACTATTTACTTTGATCCATCCATCATGTTGGATACTCCATCCATCCCGCAAAATAATTCCCGGTTTCCTTTTAGGTCGTCCCAAAAAATAGTTCTCATTTTCCCTTTTGGAAAGTTTTGTGTGACTCACATTTATTTATATTTTTCTTATTCAACCACAACCATACATGATACATTTCCACTTTATTTACACTTTCTTAAACTCCGATCCAAGTCAATGCGGGAACTATTTTATGGGACGGAGAGAGTATTATATTGCCTACTTTAGTTTAGGTGTGAACTAAAAAAGTGAAAATTGTATACTTTAAATTTGTACAGGTGAGAGGAAATTAAATAAGGAAACCAGAAAATCATTACTTTTAAAAAAGAAAAATGACAAATTTTTTAGATAAGCACAAAAGAAAATTGACAAAATATGCTCCTCTCAAGTCTCAGTACAAGAATTTACAATATCATCACTCAGTAGAGAACATGCATATTAATTGTTGTACACTAAAAGAGGTGATAAATTGGGCAACCCAAAGCAAGCAAACTTCAAGATCAGATAAGCACATTAATTGGGAATTAATGACCGCTACGCAAAACCATGCACTATGTCAAAGTAACGCCTTTGTCTACTACTCTACGTGTCTATGACTATGATGGTAAGCTTTTTACCTTGAGCCTGTCCTGTACTTTCATCTAACCATTAAGGTCTAGTAAAATTGTAAAAAGAATTTGTTAAAACACGAGAAATTCCGCTCACTCCTGCGTGTACAAAAACTGAAATTGAAATTATGAATTTGGTTATATTGTTATTTGATTATGAATTTGTGTGTTTTATATTAGTTGAAGTATTATGTATTGATTATATATAATTTTATCAAATAGTAAAATTGTGAATGTGTTTTAGCTTTTCTAGTTAAAAATGGTTACGAAATTGAATTGTAATTTTGTGATAGTATTAATATTTCTTCGGTAGAAATATAAAATGTCATTATATATATAAAACCTAAGTAATTTTGAAGTGTAATAAAATTGGACACATCTGGATGGGTTACAGTGAAAAATTATCTTTAGTTAATCCCGCTCAATCCCGACAATGAAGTATCAAACATAAAATTATGTAATTTCTTTAGTTAAACACTAACTTTGATATTTAGTGGTTTCAAGATTATTCTTTGTTGATTGTTATAGCATATTTATCATCTACTTATAAAATTTATTGTAATAATTATCATCTCAAATTCACACTAGTACATACTTTTAGAATAATTTTTATTTGTAACTTCAATTAATTAATAATATAATTTTTTAATAAGCTATCAAGGCTTAGTGAAACTTACTTCAAACATTATATAAAAATCACTAAAAGAAGGATGTGTAACGTATATTATTTAAAATTCAAAACTAAGTAGACTCATTGAGAAACTTTGTGATCAATGAATATAGTGTATAAATACATATGATGATTATTTACTAAAGAAAGAAATCTTAGTCTCGATCATGATTTTTTAAAGAGTTCATCAGAACCGCAAAATTTGTAATACTGTTGTGATTTAGATTGTCGGGATCAAGAATAATCTCTATTTGGTTAGGATCCCGAATATTCATTTTCGGACAAATGCCGAATAGTTTTAGAAGTTTGATATTGTAAGATACTCGTAGTAAAAGATTAATCTATGTAAGGAATAAGTAATTAAAAAAGATATGCAAATATTTAGATACATATTCATTTTTTATAAATGTATATTCATTTTTTATATATTCATATATAATTATATACATGTGTGCATATATATATATATATATATATATATATATATATATATATATATATGTATGTATGTATGTATGTATAATGTCGGGATGTCGGGAATTTCCCGATACCGACTTTTTTTAAAAAAGATCGCGGTCCCGTCCCGACTTAGTCGGGATCGGGAAAAATTCCCGACTAGTCGGGATCGGGAATATCGGGATCGGGATTGTCGGGATCAGGATCGGGAGTCGGGAGTTTTTTCCCAGCCCTACATACAACCTTGATTTTAGATCTCATATTTAGTGTAACATCACAAAATTAAAATTCTAGTACAAATGCATTTGAATCAAAATCTAATAATTGCAAATCTAATAATTGAGATACATTGTGGTTTCTCACAAATGCATTTGAATCAAAATCTCAATATATGTTAGTGTCTATATATATATATATATATATATATATATATATATATATATATATATATAGTACTCTATATATATATATATATATATAGTACTCTATATATATATATATAGAGAGAGTACTCTTCTCATCAGGCCGGCCTGACGGGAACCTCCGTCCGACCGAGCCCGTTTGGGCACCTTCCCGGTGGAATTTTTTGATGAACTTTTTTGAGCATGTTCCTCATCAAGTCTAGTTTGTCTATACCAAATTTCAGCTCAAAATTCGATCGGGAAGGCATTCAAATCATTTTTTGAAGTTGACTACGTCGAAATATACATATAAAACTGCAGTCAACTTCAAAAAATAATTTGAATGCCTTCCCGATCAAATTTTGAGCTGAAATTTGGTATGGACAAACTAGACTTGATGAGGAACATGCTCAAAAAATTTCATCAACAAATTCCACCGGGAAGGTTCCTAAACGGGTTCGGCCGGACTGAGCAGCCCGTCAGGCCGGCCTGACATGAACTTTCCTCTGTGTGTGTGTGTGTGTATATATATATATATATATATATATAAAAATGACACGTGCATCCTTTTTCAAAAACATTGAGAGTAAATGGGCGACAATTTCCAAAAGTCAAACTCTGTCTGAGCCTCATAATATATCGTTCGGTGCAAATTAAAACGGTTGTCTCACCAAAATTTAAAGGTCTTCAGTTCAAGGGCATTTTTTTGTGCGTGTCATCCTTGCGCAAGGGCATATTATATACTCCGTATGAATATAAATAAGAGCTTGATCAGGCGAGGTGAGGAAAAAAAAAATGGATTCAATCCAATATATGCATATATAGTACTACTAATAAGGAGCCGATATATAGAAATGGAAAGGAAGCCGTCATCTCCTGTTAATAATAAAGTCTTGTTTAGAAGAATTGTAAAACTAGTGGTGGTAATAGTGATAGTATGGGAGATGCCTCGGCCTGGCGGTTGTTGGGCGTGCGAGACGGGGGCGGGGGGCTGCCGGAACTGCATAGTGAATACGATGGCGAAAGACTGCCCCAAATGCTGTCCCCTCATGCGCTGCATGTCTCAGTGTCTCTGGGCAGGCGGCGGCGGCGCCACCTACAAGTGCACCAAGAAATGCGACTGCGCCAGTGGCGGTTTTCCGAGGCTGTCCGATTGTAAGCATTGTTTGTCCCAGTGCAAATGCAGTTGCTCCATCTATCTGAGTTGATCAAAAGTTGCAACCCGCCCGGCCCGCCTCCCATCCTCCTCTACGGCCTCTATATATCCTACCTACCTATCAATCTATCAATCTATCTATGTTTGTATGTTAGTGTAAATACGTAATCCTTGTTTCCTTCCTACTTGAATTGTTTGTCCGACCATTCAGTTAAGGCTCTGTTTCCTACACTTCATTAATCACCCTACTTGACTTATTCTGCTTATTGATCATATCAATGAACAATCAAAAGAAAACGCCCATATTATGAAGTTGGTGTTTATGGTAAAGATCACTAGATCAGGTGCTTAAGACTGAATTACTGATTCATGCACCTACTTTTAACGTTAAACGCCCGAATCCACCCGATTTGGTTTGATAAACTCTATAACCCAACAAAGTATTACTTTTATAGCAAAGTTTGAGCAAGGGGACCATGTTACTCCCTTGATTACACTGCACTCTCAAACGAGAGGGCTCATGGCCTCACAGATATCACAAAATCAAGCGACTCAGGAATCAAGAAAAAATGTACATTTCAGGTATTGTTAATTTACACAAAGTTATGCTTATCTATACACACACACAAAAACGAGGAGAATTGCAATTCTGGCTGTGTATATGAAGTTCTTTTTAGCACACATTAGAGATCAAACCACCACTGCTTTCATCCATCATCACCATTGGTCGCGAAGAAACTGTTGAAGGCACCGAAACCCTAAATTCTCAACACAAAACCTCTCAATGTCTCCACCTCCAGTTTCTCGGCAAACATCTGTCTCGATCTTCTCAAGATAATCATCCCAGTCCCTCATGAAACCATCCCAAGGCTCGATGTTCGCATCGGAAACGGCATCCAGTATTTCTTGAAGCCCAACAATCCTGCGGCTAACGCTTCTTCTCAAATCCCTGACAGTTGGATCGATGCCAGGCACAGAGTCTAATCTAAAAAGTAATCCCATTAACACTTCATTGATCTTAATCCTCTCTCGTTCATTGCTCCTCACTGCATCAACCGTCTCCTGCCATCGATTGTGCAAATTATAAATTATTATGACCACAGCCAAACACATTAAACCAAGTGTTCTAACAAGCACTAATTGGACTCTATACTTTTCACAAATATCCCTTTTAACACAGGAAGATTTTACAGAATTCAATGTCGCTTTATAAGTTTATTTAATCTTTCACCTTCTCTCGCCTGAATGCCTGACAGGTCAAGGAGCTTAATGTAACAACATAAGAAACCCCGCTGCTCAATTGGTAATTTGAAGAAACCATGAGGAATGTAAAAGTAATTATATCAAAAAAATAGAACAGGAATTACAACATACAGACTAGTGAAGAGAACACAACCATAGTAGATGGAACATGGTGATCTATTTGTGTCACATCATTCTCATTCAGTAATTCTAGATTCATTTAAGTGTATGAATCTTGGCTTACAGAACCTCAAATTGTTCTTTCATTCCTTTAGGCTCTTTCATTCCTTGCTTAAATTAGCACAAACCATCATACCGACTTGCTCCAATGGAAAGGAGCAAATTCAACAGTCTATACTGTCCATTTAAGAAGGCTCTAACCCCTAACAATATGCAAGTATCATACTATGATACTCCAACTCTTATATGTTCATCGGTTTATTTAAAACGTAAATGTATAAATGGTATCAAAGCATGCTTATTACAGATTTATACTAATTAGGAGTTTATGTTTTCTAACATCAAAGAAGAAGCCTATAGGAATCTAGTCCCAATTCCAATTATGTGTGTGCATTAGTCAATATACTTTATGCTTTGGATGACCGCCCATCGATTTTCTGCTCCATTTTGTTGTAGCACCCTCAATATAAGTTCAAACTTTTACAAACAGACGAAAATAATCACAGCCAGAGCAACACAGTCTGGTAATGTTCATAAATTAGAGACAGTGAAAATGCAATTCATCAGCGGGAAATACTAAGAGGGCGATATTGAATTACGTGCCTGCCGTTGGATGATGCGTTGCAGATTGCTGGCTTCGAGATTGACGGCTGAGATCGTCTTCACGAGCTTGCGGACCACGTAAGATCGGTAAACAGATTGTATCTTAACAATCGCGGCGGAGATTCGTCTGGATCGGGTGATGTCGGCGGGGGGTTGTATCTGCTCTGGATCATCCGATGGGGAGTTTTGGGACTGGACGGGAATTCGGAAGGAATTTTGCTCAGAATAAGGGGCAGAATGGTCATTATGGAAAGTGTGAGAAACTGTAGTGGTGGTTGCAGGAAAAGGAAACAACAAGCCGCCTCTCATCAGGGATGAAGACAGCGCGGCGGCGGCGTTGGTGGTCGGCGGCGGTGCGGACCGAAGTGGAAACAGTAAAAGAAGGAAGAAAGAGAGACGGTGCAATTATCGGAACCAAATTGGCGCGTATTGATTTGACGGCGCCGTTAGAAGTAGGGATATTAGCTTTGAGTAGTAACAGTTAACTTTTGCTTTAAGTGGTCCAATGAACCACGAGTTGACTCATAAAGCCTTCAAACCCATACTGATCAGAATGAGATACCCGGCTTGAGTGTAATTTATACTTGTCGAGTGCTCTTCTCATCAGGCCGGTCTGACGTGATGCTCCGTCCGGATGAGCCCATTTGGGCACCTTCCCGGTGAAATTTTTTGATGAAATTTTTTGAGTATGTTCCCCATCAAGTCTAGTTTGTCCATACCAATTTTCAGCTCAAAATTCGATCGGGAAGGCATTCAAATCATTTTTTGAAGTTGACTGCGTCAAAATATACATATAAAACTGCAGTCAACTTCAAAAAATGATTTGAATGCCTTCCCGATCGAATTTTGAGCTAAAATTTGGTATGGACAAACTAGACTTGATGAGGAACATGCTCAAAAAATTTCATCAAAAAATTCCACCGGGAAGGTGCCCAAACGGGCTCGGCCGGACGGAGCAGCCCGTCAGGCCGGCCTGACATGAACATTCCTCTATACTTGTCCGATAAGACTTTCATATTGTCTTACTAAAGTAGATCAAATCATCAAAGGAAAAAAAACAATTAACTAATTAAGCACGATATTAAGGATGTTTTCTTTTGAACTCAAATTTGCTGGTTTGGTCTGATCTGATCTGAACTAGTTTGATCTAGTAAATGTCTGATCTCTGTATATTTTACAACTATAAAAGTCTGGTCTCAGAGGCGGCCAGAGGGCCAGTTTGGCCAGACATTTGCCTAGGGCCTCACATGTGGAAGGGGCCTCAAAAAAATAAACTAGTAGTAGTATGAGTAATTGTAACTAGAAAAGTCTCCAGCCTTGGTGCAAGGTTTGAATCAAGGCAAATCAGCAATGAATCGGCAAAATGGCAAATGCCGCAATTCCTGAATTTTGCATTTCAGATCTCTACTTCGGCGGTTCTCATCAGAGTACCTAATCATCTTCTCCTGTCCATTAATTCCATGGTTATTGACTAGTGCTACGACATCGATCACCGACGCAGAAGCACCCATACTAACCCGAGTGCTTGAGTCTAGTTCTCTGCTCTCGTTTTGTGTTGCTTCTTGACGTTATTGTGTAAAAATGACTAAAGCACTCACCACCTTTACGAAGGATTTGAGGACCATTGGAAAACTGGAAGTCTGTAAATCTTTATTCTCTAGAATAAAGATTTTTACTTTTTAGGATTTCAGTTAAATTCCTCAATACTAAATACAATTACTGGTCTCAAATTAAACTTGTGATTATAATTTATAAAGTATTGGACCAATATAGTGCTATAAATCATTTATCCCTTTGTGCTACGGAGTATTTTGAATACTGAAATACTACATACTTCCTCCTCCGTTCCTTTTTAATTGCAACAGTCAACATTTCACGCTTGTCAATGCACGAGTTTGACCATTAGTATCTTTCATTCGTTATTAGTAAAAAATTAAAAAAAATCATATTCTGAAACTTTAAAATGAGAAGAATTTAACAATATTCTTAAAAAATTTAATGTATAATAGATTAATAAATATAATATAGTCAAAGTAGAATATGTGAATAGTGCAAAAAGTCCAATGTTGCAATTAAAAGAGAACGAAGGTAGTACTTGTTTTACTTAACTTAATTGGATAGTGTCATTTTTATGTTTTTTTTTATAATTGTATTGGTGAATTTTAACTTTTTGTTGCTCACATTTTATGGTGCAATCAGATTATATGAAAAAGAAATTTGAATAAGTTTTGTTTTTCATATGTTTTTTATAAAAAATATTGTTTGTTATGTTATACTACGTTGAAAACAAATTGATATGATAGCAGCGTATTAAGAGAATGTTCGCAATAACTTGTGTTTTAAAAAAAATCAAGTTTTAAAATGTTTTTGGAAAAAATGTTTAATATTTAAAGTTCATAATTTTTGAGAAAAAATGTGATTTTAAAAATTAAAGGTTGATAGTGTTTGGTAAAATAATATTTTTTGTGTAATAGAAAAAGTAAAAAAAAACAGATTTTGGCTTTTAACTTTTTAATGTTTTATTTAATCAAAAGTTGTCACTTGAAAACATTTTTTTTTAGTTTTTTTAAGTCAAAATCTAAGAAACGGTTTTTTTAATTGTTTGCAAACATTGGCTAAGTATTCCGGGTCTTTTTTGAAAGAGTATTTGATGTCTAGGGCCCCCAATAGGCTCAAGCCGCCCCTGTCTGGTCTGATTTGGTCTGGTTCGATCTGATATGATCTAAGACTGAAAATAGTCCAAAAGAAAACATCAGGTAATGAACGGATTACTAGATAATTTTTAACACATAATTACACATGTTACATGCAGTGAAACTTTCCCTTTTTCTTTCTATCTTGCTTCTTTTTTTTTCACGCTTCACGATGACCTTCGCCGTGGATCTGGTTTAGCCGGAAATGAAGTCTTAGAAGCTGTTCTCTTCGCCTGATCTGAATGTTTCTGATCTGAATTTTTTAAGTTCTGATCTGATCTGATCTGAATTTTTCTGATCTGATCTGATCTGAATCTTTCTGATCTGATCTGATCTGATCTGATCTGAATCTTTCTGATCTGATCTTATCTGATCTGAATCTTTCTGATCTGATCTGAATGTTTCTGATCTGGTCTGATCTGATCTGAATGTTTCTGATCTGATCTGAATCCTTCTGATCTGATCTGAATCTTTCTGATCTGATCTGATTTGAATGTTTCTATGATTATAATTATGATTATAATTATAATTATAATTATTATAATTGCAATTACAAATATAATTTAAATAAAATTATAATTATAATCGTAACTATAATAATAATAATAATAATAATAATAATAATAATAATAAAAATTAAAATTAAATTTAAAATGAAAAAATTTATACCTATTACACTAATAGAAAAAAATAGATATAATTATAACTATAATTATATTTTTAATTATAATTACTTATATAATTATAATTGTAATTATAATTACAATATTTATCTCTATAATTATAACTATAGTTATCAATATTATTATAATTACTCCGTAAAATAATTACAATAGTAATAATAATAATTATTATTATTATTATAAAAATAATAATTATAATCATAAATTATAATTATAATATAATTATAAGTATAATTATAATTATTATAATTATAATTAATAATAATTATAATTATATTAAAATTAATTATAAAATTATAATATAATAATATAATTATAATTATTATGATTATAATTAATAATAATTATAATTATATTAACATTAATTATAATATTATAATATAATAATAGTACTATAAATACAATTAATATTATCATAACGATATTATTATATTAATATTATTATTACAATATATTAATAATAATACGATTATTATTATTATTATTAGTATTATATTATTATAATATTATATTATAATTATAATTATAATCAAAATTATAATTATGATTGTAATTATAATTATAATTATTATAATTATAATTAATTATAGAAATAATTATAATAATTACAATTGATTATACTTATAATTATAAGAATTATAATTGTAATTATAATTATAATTACATATAATTATAATATAATATTATAATAATATTAATCATATTATTATTATTATATTGTAATAATAATAATAATAATAATAATAATAATAATAATAATAATAATAATAATAATAATAATAATAATAATAATAATAATAATAATAATAATAATAATAATAATAATAATAATAATAATAATAATAATAATAATAATAGTCTTCTTAATAATTGCATTTATATTACTATTATTATATTAAAATATTATAACTATTATTAATATCTTATTTCTTTATCATATTATTATTAATATATTAATAATAATTATATAATAATAATAATCATAATAGTAATAACAATATTAATAATAATAATTAATATAATAATAAAAGTGATAAATCATGTTTGAACTTTTCTGATCTGATCTGAATGTTTCTGATCTGGTCTGATCTGATCTGAATCTTTCTGATCTGATCTGAATCTTTCTGATCTGATCTGATCTGATCTGAATCTTTCTGATCTAATCTGATCTGATCTGAATTTTTCTGATCTGATCTGATCTGATCTGAATTTTTCTGATCTGATCTGATCTGATCTGAATAAAATAAGAATAAGCAATAAGTAATAAGAATAAGACGAACAGAACAGCACCTTAATCGGTCCTTTTCCCAACACATGCCATATTAATTGTACAAATTTTATAGCCCCTCTATGTTAACACAAAAAATAGTGAAGAAAAAAACGCAAGTAACCTGAAAAAGAGTAGTTAATAACATTCTATAACAATACATATTTTCTCTATGGAAGCACTGTCAAAAGCATCATGATCTGATGATCATCATATTCATCTTCATTATTACCTTCGAAAATGCTATGTGTACATCTAAGGCTGATTGCAATGGAGGGAGTGAAAACCCCAAATGTAAAGTTTTCACCCCAAAATAGCTGCAACCCAAAAGCTTTTTAGTATACTGGGGTCTCATCCCTAATAGGGAGAACAGACGGGAGGGGTTTTTGGGCGGTGGATTGACTCTCCACTAGAGCTGAATATGCGCAGGTGGGCTGACATATGCATGAAGAAAGGAATGGTCCACATTGCAGCTAAGGAAAAATAATTGGCCTCCATACAAATTAAAAATCCCACTTATTAAAAAAAGAGCATAACTTTTTTATTTATGATTCAATATTTTTAGAAAATATATCGAAATTCATAACTTTTTATGATCTTTCATATGACACCAATACCATATATATATATAATTAAAAAATATGAAGTTTCATCTGATTGAAACCTAAAGACTAATTTTTTTACTTAAGTAGTTCCAAATGTTAAAATCAAAATCTCATGAATAATATTTTTTACATCTTTTGGTTATGTTTTACAAAGTAAGTTTGAAACTACAAAAAAAATTAACCTCAAAATTTATTTATTTTTACATCAGAATGTTTGATTTTTTAAATTATAATTATTTGCAAAAAGAAAATCAATAAGTTTTTGTTATAATAATAAAAAAAAGGATTTAATTAG